TTTAGCTATGTTGCCTAGGCTGGTCTTGGCCTCATGTGATCCTTCTGCCTGAGCCTCCCAGGTAACTGGGATTACAGGTACAAGCCCCCACCCCATCTGACATTTTTAACTTTATCTACTACCTATTTCATGTGTCTTTTGCCCTCAGCCAGGACCACATCTTGTCAGGCTCCTTTGCCTGGTAGGGTCCCATATCTTCATTCTTAATTAGTCTGAATCCCCAGTGGTCCTCTCTTTCTTTGGTAGCTATACACATATTGATAAAGAGTCAAACAAAAGAAAATCGACTTTGGTTAAAGCAGGAATCATTGGATTAAATATAAGAAAGAACGATGGGCTGGGACCAGTTCTGAGTCTTAGCCTAATCTCCTGCGGGCCCCCAAAAGAACTAATTCACAGAAGCAGATTTGAATACCAGGAGGGGATGATTTTAGAGTCATTGTCCCTAGTGTTTTAAGTAAGAGATTAGATAGTTATCTCTTCTGGATAACTTTTTTTATTCCCCTGCTGCTCTTTTCCTCTCTCTGGTGTATAATGTACCATTTGACTTTCCTTTCTTGGTTTAAGTACCCTAGACTAACTTTCAAAGACTTGCGTCCTTGTAGAAACTATGTCTACAGTTTGGACAAATTCATTTAGCTGGGTTTCCAGTAGATAGATAACTATTCCTAGATAGATCTTAGAATATTCCTAGGTAACTAAGACAGGAAATATGAAACATAAGTATTGTCAGGCATATGTTAGTCAGTTTTTATCATAGTTAAGAGAAGAACATTAACGTTATAGAATGTAAAACTCTACATAAATTAATAGTGTGAATGTTCAGTGTTCTAAAGTGACTGTGAATGTTCAGTGTTCTAAAAATCTTTTAAAAACAGCTTTACCTAAGATTATCTTTGTTTGATTTAAGATAGAAAAGTAGGATAATTCAACATTATAACTAAGTAAAGATCAAATAAAAACAGATCTAGGGCACTCCTTGTGATAACTGGTCCAAATTGTCAGTGGATCATTGGACATTTCAGGGCTGCATTATAAAAGCTGGTTCCAACAGTTAATTCTAAGAAATGTTTTTTGAAGCATTTTTAAGTAAAGCACTATAAAATGTGTCAGTCATACTTCACAGAATGACATTTTGATATCTCTGGAAATCATATCTGAGTTGTTTCTTTTTTATTATATCCATTCTTGACATTAGCTGATTCTACCTTTTGAACCAATAAAAGCCAGTGTAATATTCCAGGTTATAGAGCAAATTTACCTCTGCCTTTATAGATGCAATACAAAAGAAAATCAGCTAGCCTGTTCTTGCAACTATACCTGTCAGAGCTGCCTGCCAAACAACCCTTGGTCCCCTTTCAACAAATTAAGTTAGTAAGCATCTTTAAGTATTTGTTTTATGCCAGACATAATGTAGTTACTGAGAATAGAGTGCAAATAAGACATAGTCTCTCTGCCAGTGTGAAACTCAGGCTGCTGTAGCCAAAGCCCATGCTCAGGTGCAGAAAGATCAGCAGGAGTGTCACTCTGCTGTTGGTACAGTGATGCTGTGCAACATACTAGTCCAAAACACAGCAGCTTAAAACAACCTTTTTTTTTTTGTTTTTTTGTTTACTTAAGCATCTCAAGTAGGCAAAGGGTTGATTGATCTAGGGCAGAGTTTGGTTAGACTTTGCTACAAGATCCACCTCATTTCCATCATCCTCCTTGGACCAGTCGGCTAGCTGGACACATTCTCTCATAGTGATGACAGAACCAAAAAAACCCTTCCTTTGTCATATCGATTGATGCACCGTGGATTAAAGCAAGACAAATGGCCAAGCCCAAAGCCAAGGCAGGGAAGTGTACTCCACCGCTAACGGGAATTACTGCAAAATGGGATGCAGGGCGAGTGGGAAGAACGGCAAAGGCAGGCAGCAAAGAGTATGGAGAAGGCCGGCGAGGCATGGCGGGCCACAGGCCTGTTTTGGAGAGCGGCAGATGCAGAGGCCTTGCCTGGCTCCCTCTGCCATCCTTACTGGGCCGAGGACGGGTAAAAGGCCTGAGGCAGCAGAGGATGTCTTGCCTTGCCTGGGCAAGGGGAGCTGGGCTCCCATTGTGTCTAGAATTTTGAGGACATGGGATGGGAACCATCACTGTGTAACAATAAAGTTATTTAATTGAGTAGTTCGGGAAGAGCCTATGAGGTGAAGAATTTCCCAACTTTTTGCATGGAGGAGCCAATGACTTTTGCCTGGTGTGTATTGTGAGTGAGCTGCTAGTGGTTCATGTGGTTTGTTGGCATTGGAGAAGCACAGAAGAAGAGCAAAGAAGTCATTACCTCCCCCTGTTGCCAACATCACCCCTCCCCCCCATGTATGTATGTACCACTCTCCAGCTGTCATGGTATCAGGAGTTTGTACTCTGGGACAAGTCTGTTACCAGAGCTTTCTGAGCTTTGCGGTGTCCTTATGCCTTGACAGCAGAGGATTGTTTTTGGTGGAGACTTCTGCTTAGAATCAATCAGATAATCAGGGTTGATTATCCCTAATCTGAAATCCAAAATACTCCAAATTCAAAACTTTTTGAGTGCTGACATGACACTCAGAGGAAATACTCATTGGAGTGTCTCAGATTTCAGACTTTTGGATCAGAGATGCTGAGCCTGCAAGTATAATGCAAATATTCTAAAATGCCCCCAGAGGAAATGAAATCCAAAAACACTTCTGGTCCTATGCATTTTACATAAGGGATATTCAACCTGTATCCTGTATCCGTCTTCTTAATCAACTGACTTATCTCAGGGGGCCTATTGGTGTGGCCTCTGTTTGGGATTAATGACCCATTTTAAGAGCTGCTTTGGAATACATATAGACTGGAATCTGTATCTTTAAGAAAAATGGGATATTCTAATACAAAGGACTCTTAAAATGACTAATCTATAACTGTTTAGTAAGACGTAGGGAACATTTGTGCTCAGAATATCTAGGAAAGAAAGGGAGATAATACTTCTAGTAGTAATTTTAATAAGATTAGGCAGTAAGTGTGCTCAGAATGCCCTAATATTTTGTCCTGATATGGGAGAGGCTGAAAATTACTCATAAGGACTTTTGGCAAAGAAGTAGGGATCTCCTAAGCATCTCTCCAGGCAGGAAGCTTATGGATTTCTCTCAAGAGGATACATTAAATGCCTTCAAGTTACACTTTCTGACTTTTTTGTTTCCCTTCAAAAAAAAAAATTCTCCAAGAAGAGCATGTTGGATACTACCTGGCATGGTATGAGTATTTAGTAACCAAATGTTTGTTTCCTTTTGTCCTTTTCTTTTTACCTTATTAATAAACTTTTTAAAAAAATGTTTGTTTATTTAGTATAAACAGAAGTGTCCTTACCATCAAGAGAAAGAGTGGGTAGGTGGTAGAGAACTAGAGCCACACCGCTAATAACAGAGTTTTACAGAGGTGACATGGAGAGAGGGTGTACTCTACACCGTAGGCCTACCCTGAAGGAGAATAGAATTAAGAATTAGGCAGGCATTGTGTGGACAACCTGCAAGGTCCATCCCACTCTTGTGATTTTAGTAACGTGCTCTGCTAAATGCCGCTTGCCACACTGTCTAGCCGTAGGGTGTTGATTCGCTTGTCTGTCTTCTCTCCTATAGACTGATTAGAAACCATGGCAACAGTGTCATGATACAGTGCTGACTGTTTCTAGTCACAGTTTCGTTACATTTATTGAATGAACAAATTGACACATGAATATCACCACCCAAGGTCAATACCCATAATCAATTTATATGCAAGGTTGGGGTAATAAATTCACTTATTCTCATAATGCTAGTCTCCTTATGCTGAGAGCATTCTCAGCTGCCTTTGCTTCCTCTTCTGCTTCTTAGTTTTTATTGAAGAGCTTATTTATAATCTGCATAAGGTAGTAATATTCCTGGTAGCAAAATTGGATTATAAAGTCTTTGAGGCAAACCACCATGTAATCTCAACACGTACAATTTCTCACATACAAAACAGTTAAGGCTCAGCAGCCACAAAAAGATCATCCTGGAGGTATTTTCCCTTTCACCAGCTCAAACCAGTTGTTAGTAATAAGTTGATAACTTATTTGCAGGTAATAAAATAGATACTCTAGTATTTCTTATAATTTGAGACATTCATGCAAAGTGAATGTTTCTTTACCTTCAATTTTCAGTAGCCACTCATTTACTGCTCCTTTTGGTAACATAAACCTCTTGTTGCTGTCACTGCAGCTTTTGTGACTAAGTCATTCGGAAGCAAAATGGCATTGTAAGCTGTTGGACTGGCAGTGCATTTGTTTTTCATCTGTTTGTTTGTTTGAGTCCAATTCTACTCTGTCACCCAGTCTGGAGTGCAGTGGCATAATCACAGCTCACCGCAGCCTCAACCTCCTGGACTCAGGTGATCCTTCTGCCTCAGCCTTCCGAGGAGCTGGGACTACAAACGCAGACCACCACACTGGCTAATGTTTTTATTTTTTGTAGAGACGAGGTCTCGCTATGTTGCCCAGACTGGTCTTGAACTCCTGGGCTCAAGCAGTCCTCCCACCTTGGCCTCCCAAAGTGTTGTATTATAGGTATGAGTCACTGCACCTGGTGTGTTTTTCATTTAAAATCTCAAATAATCTTTACCATTATCTATCACTTTTATGAAGTAAGATTTTATGTTTATTTGTTTAGTTTGCTCGTTTCTTTCTCTACTTTAATGAGAAATACTATATTCCTCTGTTTAGGCTTATAGAATCTCTTGGCAAGGACAGGTTTATGATGTTCTGTCTTGAAGTAACAAATGAAATGAAGACTTAATACTTTTTTTAAAAACACTTACTTGGTTTTTTAAAGGCATAAAAATAAATGTATTATATAAATATTATATATTTGATGTACATATTTTGTGCTGGAGTAAGCTCTGATTCCAAAATTTGAGAACTATGGACTAGCTGAAAAAAGCTTTCTAAACTTAAATATTCTAACTAAACCTTTCTTTCATGTCAGCCACCAGCTCTGCCCACTTGGAGGACCTTGCTTACCTGGATGAACAGAGACATACACCTTTGAGAACTTCTCTTCGAATGCCAAGACAGAGTATGGGTGGTGCTCGTACACAGCAGGACTTAAGAGGTTAGATCTGCAGGGGGCCTGAGAAATGGGCAACAGCCAAAAGTTTCTTTGTTTCCTGTTTCTAAACTTATTTCAGTCTCCCTTAAGAAGTGAAATGATCCATTTTAGCGTGTAACCAGTTCATTTCTGCTGAGTCTAGAGGAGGAAGAGAAACACAAACACTCTGCTACTTCTAGTAGACAGGCATTGTAATTAGCAACAGTTGGAAGCATTGATTCCTTGAGTTTCTGAATGAAAACAAATGCAAAGGGCTGGTGGTGATGGGAGAAATGACCTTTTTAAGATCCTGTGTTTCAGAAGTGACTGTTGACCAACTTCAGCCCTAGCCATAGTGCAGGCGAGCTGTCTAATCATCATGCACAGGCTAGGCGTCCCTAATCTGAAACCAGAAATCCAAAATGCTCTAAAATCTGGAACTTCTCAAGCACCCACAGGATGACACAAGTGGACTGTTCCACTCCTGACCCCTTAACTTTAGCCTGTGTGTATGAGGTACATATGAAACATAAATGAATTTTATGTTTAGACTTGGGTCTAATCCCCAAAATATCTCATTATGTATATGCAAACATTCCAGAGTCTGAAAATAATCTAAAATTCAAAACACTTCTGGTCCCAAGTATTTCAGTAAAGGATGCTCACTTATCCATTTGCAGAGAATTTATTTCATTTTGTTTTAGTAACCATTTCTAGTAACATGCAGTACTTTTGTTTTCGGAGTTTCAGAAAGTGCCCATAATCCTGGCATGGTCTACATACAACTTGGGCATTTCTCACTCAGGCACCTATTTCTTTACATTTTTGTGGCATGCTACATGTTTCTGCAAGCTGGCACCTTATCTTACCAAAGCCTTTCATTTGTTACAATGATGGTCTAACTGAAGGGCCTGTTACTGGTATTTCTGTCCTTTTGTTTGCTCAGCATTAACCAATCTCTGATGGCCTTAACGGATACTCTGGTTTCTCCAGCAGTCCCTGACTCTCCTACATGTAGTGCATTTTTTACTTTATCTTGCAAATTTTTTCATCTTTCCTTTACTGTCTTGTGTCCTTGCCCTAGCCAGTAGAGGGCCACAGCATAATTTCACAAGAAGGAGTTTCTGCCTGCTTACAGTCCATTCTAGACATCATCGTGCTGACAGTTTTTCAATGATAGCTAGGCTAATGGGAGCATAAAATAATTAATTGTTCCTGGGTGCGGTGGCTCACGCCTATAATCCCAGCACTTTGGGAGACAGAGGTGAGGGGATTGCCTGAGCCTACAGGTCCGAGAACAGCCTGGGCAACTTGGGAAGCCCTCATCCCTACAATAAATCAAAAAATTGGCCAGGCGTAGTAGCGCACACCTGTAGTTCCGGCTACTTGGAAGGCTGAGGTGGAAGGATCACCTGAGCCCAGCAGGTTGACGCTGGGGTAGCCATGAGCATGCCACTGCACTCCAGCCTGGGCAACGGAGTGAGACTCCAACTAAAAAAAAAAAAAAAGTTAATTGTATTGCAACAACGACCATGCCTCCCATCAACAACAGCTAGTTGATAGTCTCAGACCTGCCTTTAGTTCCCGTTCTTTTTGTCCATACTGCTCGCTGCTGCTTCAGTTTGGCATCTGCCAGCTGCTTGGTAGGTGCAACTGTGTATTCGCAGCCCAGAAAACTGAGTTATGTCAAGCACTACTTTAGACTGATTATATCCAACCCCTGGATAAATTTAATCACAAGACCAAATGACTGATTCATGCCAAGACCAGAACGCACAACCTTAATAAAGAAGGCTGGACAGAACCACTGATCTGTATGGTCCCACAGACTTGATTGGAAATCTGTCACATTGCCATCACCTTGCATCTTGTTACTGAAAACATTCTGGCGTTGTTGATGTTATTTTCTGCTTTGCTGATCATTGAATCATAGATGTTATATTAATAGGAAACAGAATTAATTGACAGATTTGGCTGTGCTGTTTTTAGGAATCCTTCATGTTGAGTTCAACTGATACGTGCTTCTAGTATCTGAAGATTTCTTTCTCTTTTTTTTAAATTTTATTTTTAAAATGTGGGATACAAATGAGGGTTAGATACATACATGGTCATCATACAGGTTATCTAAAGATTTCATAAGGCTTTTCAAAGTTACATTTGGGTGAGCTTGCTGTTTACACAGATCTCAGTTTTATCTAGAATACGGCAAATGTCTTTTCTTTGCATTGACCTTCAGCCTAAGCATTCGGTAAAACAACAAAAGTACACCTAAAGATTTTCCTAAAGCATACCTAAATCTTTAGGCATCCTCTGCCTGAATAATGTATTTCTAAAAATATTACTTCATTTTCCCTGCAAATAGTTCTCAACTTATTGTTGATATTGACACTTAAAGCTGAAGTGTGTCCATTGTTGAAGGTGCTGTGATATCAGTGTTTCAGTTCCTTGAAGTCGTCTTTATTTTCAAGAGCTTGTCCTTGAGTAGTCTAAATGACTAGAACGCACCACCCAGATTCATAAGAGAAAGGGTGTTTGCTCAGAAGAGTATTCTTTTTACTTCACATGCTGTAATTCAGAACGTAGAGGCTTGTGTGTCCACAGTCGTCCTTCAAAAAGTAACATGTTCTCTTGATTACTGTTGATAGATGAGTTGTATGGCTTATGATGTGACTTAAACACTTTATCAAGAAATGAAAGCAAACTTGGGTGGATAGTTTCTATAGACCTGATTGGCAAGCTTTTATAATTCATGATTATTATATCCAAAACTTTGCATTTGATATTTTTAAAAAAAAGAATCAGATTTGTTTTTCTGGCATATTTTTTAAAGCATGTGACATCATACTTTCTAATTTTATTTAAAGGATTATACAAGTTGCAGTCATATTTCAGTTTCACATCGTTTTTCTTATTATGATTAAAATAAGGGCAATCCCTTCAGATCCCCTCCCACTGTGGGAGCTTTTCTGTCCTCTCAGTAAATCCTGCTTTCTCAGAAAAATAATAATAATGATAATTAATAAATAAAATAAAACTACCCCCCAAAAGGCAATAAAGTCATTGAAAACATTTTTCAGTGTGCATTAAGAGATCTCTTTTAGCCGGGCTCGGTGGCTCAGCCCGTACGTAATCCCACGCCTTTGGGAGGCTGAGGTGAGTGGATTGCCTGAGCCCGCGGATTCAAGACCCGCCTGGGCAGGCGAGACCTCATTTCTACAATAAAATCAAAAAAATTAGCCGGGCATGGTAGAGCGCGCCTGTAATTCTGGCTCGGAAGGGCTGAGGCAGAGGGATCGCTGGAGCCCAGCAGGTCGAGGCTGCGGTGGCCGGGAGCGGCCACTGCACTCCAGTCTGGGCGACAGAGTAAGACTCCAACTCAAAAAAAAAAAGAGCTCTCTTTCCCTGTAGAGAAGGGATATCTCTTTCTAGATTTTAAAGTACTACTCTAAAAAGTTCAGTGAAATAGTTTTTTTATAACAATTCTGGGGTTAAGTGATCCCAGGTCTTTAGAGATGGTAGTTAATGGTCATGTACACTGTAGTATATTCAGTGGATACTAAGTATGTTGACTAGCTGATGACTATATTGACTAGAGACTGAAAAAGTATCCCCTGGATATATGTCTAAAGAGCATTTGAGACGGCAAGCATTTATTGGAGCGCCTTATGGATAGTCTTACACTCTGTTAAGGGCAGTGTTTCTCTAACTTTTTGGTCCCGGGACCCCTTTACGCTCAAAAAATCATTGAGAACCCTAAAAGGTTTTTATTTATATGGGTTAAATTTATATTTGTCACATTCAAACTTGAAACTAATATGTTTAATGTTTGTTTTTAATTGTTTAAAATAACACTTTTTAAATAATAATAGAAATTATTAAAATATCTATGTGTCCGCTTTTTGTAAACAATGGCAGACCCATTTCATGTTAACATCATGTAAGCTATGAAAAGTTCTACTGTATACTTATAAAAGAATGAGAGTACAAAAAAAGCAAATAATCTCTTAGTATTATATAAATAGTTTTGACTTACGAACCCCCAGAACATGTCTTGAAAACACCCAGGAATCCCCAGACCACACTTCTAAAGCCACTGGTTTAGAGGATACATTTTAATGGAAGGTAAGTGTTATGCCTTAAAATCTGTACAATCTGTTCACAGAAATGCAAAACAGCATAGCGTAGTTTGAAAGCTGGTTACAAAGTTGTTCATGAACATGGTTTGAGAGTTCAGGCTTAATTCATTTACCAGTTGCCTTAATAGTAACTGCAACTGTTTGGTAAGCAGAAGTTGAAGTTGATGAGGTAACCTCTTCAAGTGGGATATTAACGTTAGCATTGCATCAGCAAAAAGTCCTTTTTTTTTTACTTTTCAAGGCTGCTGTTTCGAGCAGCTGTTCTACCGAAACTGATGTTTCCAGAAACCCAGCCCAGAAATGGGGAGAAGGTCATATAAGGGCACTGTTGACCAAGGTCCCATTGCAGCAAGTTAGTAGATCCTTAGCTGTTAACCATCTAAGAGCTTGAGCTCTGATGATGAGGTTGTTACAGAAGGTTGAGTGCTAGTGCACTGTGTAAGCTGGCTCACCTACCACTGGTGCCTTTTCTAGTCCCAAAGCATTCACGTCTTTGATGGATATAAATTTGAATTAATTCAATCTTTTTAAAGTTTTTAACTTAAAGTTTTAAAATTATTTTGGGGTTCCTATTTTTAAATTCAATCACTGTTATGTTAATGTGGTAGTATACTAGAAATTATTCACCTAAAACTTTTCACTCTTTCTGCCCTTCCTAATGAAATCTCTCATTCCACAGAGAAAGGTAGAAACTCAGTTTGCTGTCTATTAAAATGAAGGGATTGTTGACTTGTATGGATAAATGTAGTAAATCTATGATGTAATATATATAAAGGGAATTAAAATACACAGTATGAAAATTCTAGCATAGTGTCTTCATATAATAGCTGCTTGGAGTAAATTAAAATTTTTTAATGGTAAGACCCTAACCTGCCTGATGTTAAATTG